GAAAGTCAATTTTGATAGCTTATAGCTATATTTTGACCTTAAGGAATTTGGTTAACTTCTCTAAACCTTGGTTTTCTTATCTGTTCATGGAAAAATATAATATCTACTGTTGAGGCATCCTGTGAAGATTAAATGACAATAACAAGGGGAAAACACTTCTTGTGTTTCACCACCCCAGGTACTCATGAGGAAGAGGCACACATGATCACATTTAATCTTCAGTCCAAAGAGGTAGATATCACTATATCAGTGAGATATAGTGATATCACTATATCACTGTATCACTTTATCAGTGAGAAAACTGAGGCTCAGTAAGATGTTTAAAACCTGCCCAAGGTTAAATACTTAAAGTAGAGAGGGTGACATTCAGACCAAATATTTCTGTTCTTGAAACCTGCATTGTTTTTTTTTTTTCCCCAGATGCTGGGTCCTTTTTCCAACACACTATCTCTGTAGATTATAAAATTCTAGAAATATTGAACATTATTGTATGTACACAATTTATTCAAATATTATTTGGAAACATAATTTATGAGTGATAGAACATCATCGTTAAATAGATTATGAGATCGTACCATGCTGACTTTTGGAGAATATAAGTGAATAGCACAATTATTGATTGATTCTTATTGCCACACAGGCTACTGGGGTTTATATCTTCAGAAAGTCATACTGAGTCCAGCTCTCCCATCCAGCTTGGTTTTGATCCATGAGGGAAAGCAGAGAAAACATGGGACATATTTATATTCAGAGTCATTTGTGTAGAAGATCTGTAAGGATGTCCTTTTTGAAATAGAAGTCATCTTTTGGATAAGATCAAATTCAGAAAAATTGAATTTTTATTTGCCTTGACATAGATTGGAATCAGTGTTGTGATTTTTTCCCCCTCCTGTACCGAGAGGAGGAAAAAGTCTTTTTAAATAAATCTCCTTGACTTTCTAGAAAGCGTTCAATACCTTTTTCTTTGCAAAAGCAGCAAGGTACTGTGACACAGAGCTCTGATGTTTAGGTTGAAAATCTTAGGAGAAAGACAGACAATAAAATTTAGCATGAAGCATAGTGGGGATAAGATGGCACGCTGCACAGATAAAAAGGCATTGGCTAAGAACAAGGGGTGTGCAAGGTAGTGTGAACTGGAAGATGGTTTTCAAGGGAGTCTTCTTTGGTACAGTAACATTTGGCACAGCAGTTAAAAAAGTGAGAAATTGAGTCACATGACTATCTAAGGGAAGAATTTTTTAGGCAGTCAATATGGCAGGGTCAAATGTCTGGAGATGTGAGAGTGTGGGTTTGAACAGCTCAGGAGTCCATGCAGCTACAGTGGGATGGGACTGGTAGCAGGAAAGGCAGAGAGGAGCCAGAACCCTGCAATGCTTTGACTTTCATCTGCAGTTAGATGGGAAGACATGGGATGGTTTCAGGCAGAAGAAATGATCTGACTTCTATTTTGACATGACCACTGGTGTGGGGTACAGGATGGAATGTGTGTATGGAAGCAGAGGGAGGCAAAAGAATGAGATTGATTGTGGGGAAAAACAACATAATCTGAGATATGGTGTTAAGGAGTGGAAATAATAACAAGTAATTGAATTTTGCATAGGATTTGAAGGTAGAGCCAATGGGAATTTTTTATGACATGTGGCAGCAAGAGAGGGTTCAAAGAGGATTCTCAGGTTCTTCTCCTGAGCAAGTGGAATAATGAAATTTCTATTTACATACTTGGGAGAAAATATGGAAGAAGAACATTTTGTATGGAAATTTAGAGTTTTGAGCTTGATCATGTTAAGCATTAGATGCCTATAAGACATTTAAATGAGAACATTATTTGGAAAGTTAGATAGGTAAGTATGGAAGCTAGAAGGAAAAGTGCAGATTAAGAATTACAACTGTAGAGCTGTGAGTGTACAGATAGTTTCTAAGGTCTTGAGATTAAATGTAATTCATTTAGAACTTAAATGTAATGAAATATTTCAACATGTTAAGATTTCAGAGATAATGAGGAAGCAGAAAAGGAATTTGAAAGAAAGTTTCTGTTTATAAATAAGTCAAAACCATGCATGCAAGCACACAAAAACACAATCTCCTTTGCTAGGAATTCTGATTGAAGGGGTAAGAGTTTAGTCTCTACAAAAGAATGGTGCTGAATTCTTCATGATTTGTCGAGATGTCCAAGGAAATCCTGACAGAAGATTGGCATCTCTACTCAGCCTTCTTTGACAAATGACTGGAATTTGGGGTGAAGACATAGGGAATGATATGAATGCAGTTGGATAACGGGCAAGGATGGCAACATGGTTGGAAAAAGAGGTACAGGTAAACTTGTATAGAAACTACCTGAAATTGTCAATATAATACATGCTCTTTGCAAAAGATTTCACAACTACGTTAATAAGAAGAACAAAATACCCCCATCATGCCACACCGGAATAGCTGCTGTCTACATTTCGTGAACTTTTGTCTACACGTGTGCTAACAAATTATGATTCTACTGTATAATGTTTGTAGTCTGATTTTCTGTTTAATATATAATAGGATTTTTTTAAAGGTACATTTTTCATGATATTCTGATAAGAGGTGGAAGATGATAGAAGGGAAGACTGAGATAGAAGAAATGTCTGCTTTAATAAAGTGGGATGAGGACTGAATGTGTGTAAGAGAAAAGGAACAAGGCACCTGTGAATTCTGAGTCTGGGTGACTGATAACAGTGACCGTGCTACACATTAAGACGGAGATGACAAGAACGACTAAAGCTTTGATTATTATTTATTTCAGGGTGGGTTTCCGGCTTACTTGTATAAGTGGTTAGCTGTTTTTCATTATTAGACATAGCAGAAATTGAAAGGGAAGTATGTCTGGGGATGTTTTGGCTGATATCTCCCAGAGTGGATCATTTGAATAAATCACTTGGTTTGGCTTTCCTCACAGCTGACAAAGGAAAAAAGTCATAATGTTTTTTTCTACTTTTCATTTTTATGGAGGTACAGTCTATATACATATACCAGAGCAATTTAATATAGGAACCTCTTCCCATAAATCTATGAAAACTGTGAAAAATCATTTTAGTTTATCAGTAAAGTGTTATGAGCATGACCACAGCAAAATAATTTCTCCTGCTTACAATTTTCACAGCATAAATTACCTCTTAAAGTAGATATTTAATATGACTAGATTAGAAGATATTGGTCAGATGAGAGAAATGAAAGCCCTTTTAAAACTGATGAGACTGATGAAAACAATACAAACAATGTCCACTCCAAATTTCTGACAACAGTAAGTAAAATATGTGTGTGTTCCTGTTTGTGTATTTCAAAGCTTACTGTCTATGTGGACTGGTAACCTCTGAGCTCAGTTGGGCAGAGTGGGACTTTACAAGGTCAAGGTCAGACAGCCTACTGGCCACAGTGCAGCAGAAAACCATGTAAGCCATGTCATAGCCATTAACGGCACGAGGAATTCCATACAGTCATTTCAGGGACGTGGGTTCTGGGTCACAGAAAACCCAGCCGAGAGAGTTCAGTTGGCTCAATAATATCCATCACACTGTTTAGAAAAACAGACACACAACTTCACACAGAGAAGCCACCTACCATGGGGCAATGATTTCAACTTTGTATGTGAATGACACTATTTGCACAAATGTTCACAAACACGCAAACTGAACTGCACCAGAGAGGAGTAAAAAGCCCCACAGAGACTCAATTCTAGTATTTAGCTGTAAACAAAAATCCTAAATTATCTTTTCCTTTTGCAGCCAGGTAATGTCACATTAATATAGACGTTATGGATACATTTGAAGAACAATACATTTAAAATTAAATATATAGTTATTTTATGTATCTTTGTCATCCATTATAACCAACCAGCGCATCAGAACAGAGTTTTTCAAAACAAAAAGCAACATCTTTACATCTTGGAGTTTGTGAAGTTCATCAGGAAAATAATGCAGCGGCACCGAGGAATTCACTCACTACGTTTTGGCCACTTCACACTGAGGGTCATGTGCAATGACAAAGCCTGAAGCTCCCAAGACAGACCAAGTTGGGGAAACATTGGTTTCTGATCATTGCACTTTTGCTTTGAAAACCTCAGCCTGTGATATCCTGACATTTCCTTTGCTGACTGAGCTCTACCGATGCCATATAAAGTACAAAGTCTGTAAGTTCCTCTGCAAATCTACTCATTATCTTCAGGACTTTGGAAGCCAACTGCCCCTCTAATCTTTCAAGGAGAATTGTGCTTTTAACCTGCTCATGGATTAAAAAAAAAAAAAGGTAAAACGTCAAGTCTGTAACCTCTAACGAATCACCATGTCCATCTGCAGCCCGGTAGTTGTTCAAAAGCAAGAGCAGGAACGGAGAGGAAACCCTTTCTTTAGTCTAAAACTCTTGATCTGCTTTAGCAAAACCGTTAATACAATGTGGATCAGCCTTTCAGTATGCAAGATGGACGAAGGTACCCAATTTTCTCTTCTAATACATTAAGCTCCAAATAGTTCTTTATCAGGGAAAGCGGTTCTAATCTAGTTTTCCCCCTTTAAAAATTAAACTCTGACCACGAAAACACATTGACTATGGGAATAAAATATTTTCTTAACAGGTTTCAAGTCTTAAGGACAGCTTCCTCCTCTTTATTTTTCTCGGACCTTTATGCCTCCCACCCACTAAAGTCTTCACTCAGTCCTCCCAGTAACCCAGCTGGCACCACAGATAAGAAGCAAACTGTTTCCTCCTTGACCTCTAAGCATTCTACTCCACGGGAAAAGCAACGTGGAATGCACACTCAGCAGGCTACGAGAGAGCCTGGAGCCAGTTCGTCCTGGAGGCATTGCTGCCATAAAACATAACACTAGCTACTGTGTTTTGCTCCGAGCGAATGGTCTCCCACCCCCCTTCCCGCGGCTCACTCCACACCTGGCTGCCATTCGTGACCCGCACCACACAAAGCAAACAAAAAGCAGGAAACAGCAACAGATTCCTTTGTTTTTACATGCAAATCATACCTCCGGTAGTTGTCACATCTTCCTCAAAAGCCACGCTTAATTTTTAATGACAGCAATCCAGTGCAGTCCTCCAACAGCCACCGGTAATCATCATTACCTCTCCTGCCTAAAGCCTTTGTGGACCATTAATGTCACAACCCTTGCTAACTCATAGCTTTAATACTCTTTGCTCAAAATGTCTGAAAGAGTTTGGAAGGACAATAGGAGTGACAGGCGCGCTAGACAGCCATGCTTCAAATTAGTTATCCGAAGCTCCGCTGAAGCCGCTTCATACTGTTTTTAAAGCGTGCAGGAGGTAGGATTTATTAGCCTATGATAGGCATGCTGTTTCTGCTTTTATTAAATACTGTAATAGGCTGTCTGTTAGCAATGCTGTGATAGGTCCAGAATCACTTCCCCACTGCTTTCGAATTCTCATATTAAAAAGGGAGAGAGGGCTCTGACTTTCTTCCTGTAGACACCACCCTGCCTACTGGATCAGATTTCCAAATCCTCTTTACCGGAGAAAGAATTTCCTTTGGAAATAGGTGTTTCTGTACAGAAAGTCAACTTGAGCATAAACACTCTTGTATTCCCCAAGAATTCCGTTCTCTCACTCCCAGCAAGGGACTTCCCTGCTGTTCCCAGTTACAAAAATAAGCAACCTCTAGAGTTAGGGAAAAGAATCAATCCCAATAGAAGAAGTTCCCATCAGTTACTAAAGGCTGACTTATGGTATATATTTACATGAAATCTCATATTATCTATCAAATGGGCAAATGTATCAAAGAGAGCATTAAGTAAGATTACAGGCTGATTTGCAAAGCTTTTTGCTCCAGTTTGAAGCAATTATGTGCCATGTACTGTCAAGATGGGAAGAACGAATGGTGGGTGGAAAGCACAGGGATATGTACACTACCTTGAGCCACACTGGACAGTCATGCTCAAGGACAATGGAAGAGGAATTTCTTACCATCGGACAGAGAGGACGGTATGATGTGGCAGGAAGTACTATGAAAGTTGTAAGACCCTTTTCAAATAGGAAAGCAGAGAAAAGTTCTTGTTAGCTAACAATGACATAGAGAACGTTTTAGGCTTCAACTACTCAGGTTTAGTCTTTTGCTTTTCTTTCTTCCCTCCTACCACCCCAGGAGCAATAGTTTTGTTTTAGTTACTATGGAAACTGAGTAGCAGGCTCTTAAGGGAGGGGCTTAGAAAGACTGGCAGATGTAATACAGATGGAAATGTGCTTTATTGGCTCATAGGATTGAAAATGAACAATGGTTAATAAACAAGCAAAATCGACTACAAATAAATTTTTGAAGCACAAATCTCAAGGGGAACAATTATAAATCACTACTATTTCATTCCTGGTAATTTTGTTATGTAGAAATGTTATGATGATCAGAATAGCATCTATTATTTTATTATATGCAAGAATTGTATATCTGAGTTGCTCAGATGTCTGATAAAAGAAAGATACTCTTTTTCTCCTCCTTGTTTTTCTAAATTCCTGGTTGTCAGTTTGAATATGTGCTGATTGTGCATGAATTTTAGTTGTTATTTCATTGGTCACAATTTTTTTCTCAGGGATAAAATATAATGTAGTGGAAAAAACTTCCTTTTAGCAAAAATCATAATCATATTTCATTCTAATTGAATATCCTTATAGTGATTTTTTTGGGGTAAAACCAAAGCCAGAAAATACATGTTACAATTTGAATTTCAAAAAGTAATTCTGTGCCCATTAAATTGGTAGGAAAAAAGACTTTTTCATATTTCATATTCCATATTTTAAAATAGAAAAAAACCTGTTAAATCTAAGATCTTTTAAGATGCTCATCATAATGCTAGACAAACTATTTCTTACCAGGCTAATTAAATTTTTACAGTTGTTAAGAGTCTGAGAAATATGAAGTTATGGTCTTTATTGCCTTAGTTTTGCAGGTTGTAATTCGAATTAAGTCATACCACTGAATTAAGAGCACAAAAATTCCAAAAGAAAATTTTGGGGAGGCAATTCTTCAGAATTTTATAGAAATCTTGTTTTGCTGTTTTTTTTTCCCCTAAAATCCTGTTTTCATGGTCAAATATGTCATCCCAAAAGTTGTAATGGAAGAAAGATTATTTCAGGGGGAAAGTACTTATGGTATTTGTTGTATTCTGGGATTTTGCAAGGAGAACAATACAAGACATATAATTTATAGAATTATTTTATAATAGTTACCCAAAGAGTCACATACATAAAGAGTACAGAAAATCTGTCCACACACTAAAGACCAAAGAATCCAGCTGAGGGCCTGGATCCCATGGTAATGTCCTGCATGAGTTCAGCTGAAAACCTAGAGCCCATAACAATGCCCCTCATGAGTCCAACTGGAGGCCAAGAACCCACAACAATGTCTCATGGGAAAGCGCCAAGGTCAGTGGTGGAAGCTAGGAAGTCTGTGCCAGTAGGATGAAGGATCTCTGCTAGCAGGTTGAGGGATCTGCACTAATCAGAACTCCCTCGAAAGGTACCACAGTCATCCTCAGCAACAATGAGGTCTTGAGCTCCTCAGAGGATGAGAACAACTGGGTCTATATCAGGAATGCCAGTGCAATAAACTTCTCCAGGAGACTGAACAGTGCACCATCAGGATCAGAGCTCCCCCAAAGTAAACTGTAGCCATTCTCAGGGACAACAAAGTCCAGAGCTCCACCAACGATGAGAACAACCAAGTTCATCAGGAAAGCCGGCACGACAAACTCCTCCAAGAAAGCCAACAGCTCCCTACAGCTTCCAAAAATTTCACCTTTTTTCCTTCTCACATTCTTTTTATTTTGTTGGCAACAATCCTCAGTTGGGCCTTCCACACCCAGCACCACTCTGGTTCCGTTCAGCCTGGTGCTACAAGTTGGCCACCAGTTGTCAATCCACCACAGTATTTTCTTTAAAAATGATGCAGGAGTAATATTATAACTTGTGCATCTCAACTTTTTAAACATAAAGTTTCTACGATAAGCTAAATATTGTATCAATATTAGCACTGCAGTATGATTTACAGACAGAGAAAGTGAGGGATGGAGAAAGAAAGGAGCAATCAGAAAACCTCCTCATTGGAAATCTCTTTCCAGTCCTACTTGGGGTTGATTGAGGAAACAGCTACCAACAGTGCAAGAGGTGAATGGATAGGATTGGATCCTGGGATGAAGTAAGAAGGTAGGACTGGAAAAGGAATGGTTCCGTGATGCTTTAGGAGAGCTCTGTTCCTGAAGGAACAACAAAGATGATAGCTTGGACCTCTCTGATAATGAAGGAGTTTCCTGCAAAAGGCAGCATTCAGAGGGAAGTTTGGTAAGGCTGAGGATGGATGGTTTGTAGAGGTGAAGCCTCTCAGTCACTTTCTGATAGCTGGGACACAGTGTACCTACTACTTATTGGAGGAGAGGTTTGTTTGGGGCTGTGTTTCAGATGTCTCAATCTTTGTATGCTTGGCTGGCTCCAAGGCTGGACAGGATGGCTCAGAGGCATGGCAGAGGGGAATTGCTCAAGACATGGCAGCAGCAAGGAAGCAGAGAGAAAAGGAAGGGAGGAGTAGGTAAGAGAAAGATGAATCTATCCAGGCCACGCCCCCAGTAACTCACCTCTTCTGACCAGACTCAGTCCCCTAACAGGAAGTGACCCGTAATCCAATTGTCTTCCAAAGGTTCGGTCTTTGAGCTCATGATACTTTGGGAGGATATCCAGACACAAACTGCAATATGAAGAAAGAGGACCAAAAAATGGGGAAAGGAAACAGAAAGAAAAGAAGAAGAAAGAAGGGATTTGAGAGAAAAAGAGGGAAGGAAGAATTTCTCCAAGTAACATGGTACGAAAAGAGGGCATAAGCTTTGGAATAGAGGGCCTGACTTTGAAATTTGGTTCTGTTCGCCTGCTTGAGCTTCACATGTTAAAATGCAATGGCATAGATGTCTGTCTTAAGAAGGCAGTGGTATAAAAGAGGTTATATGATAAGGTGGAAGCATAGCTCTTTATAAAGAAAAATGCTAAAATGAGTGTTAGTTATTACTCAGCAGGAGGAGACATGAACGAATCCAGAGGAGGAAAGAAGCCAGGAAGAAAAAAGAGAAGAGAAAAAATTAGGAAGACAAAAGAGGCATAAACAGAAAACAGGAGAGGTGGAAAAGAGACTTCCTCCTGTTGAGTCATCAAAGAGAATTTCCTTCTGTTTTTTTGTTTTTGCTTTCTGAATCACATCCCAATAACTGCTGTTTTACTTCTACCCCTATAGCAAAGTTTCAGATAATAAAGTGTCTTTAGAGTCCTGGCCTTCTTCAGCAACACAGAAACCTGTGCTGGACTGGTTAGCATGTTCTACCATTTTTATAATAGCTGATCTGAGGATCGTATTTAGTGCCTCTTAGCATTGCTTTTTTTGTACAGTTCTCTGGAGAATGAAGGTTTGGGCTAGCAGAAGGCAGGAACTGAAGTGATATTTCAGAGCTATATTACCAAACACATTCAGCAAGAATGCTCTGTGCATCTGTAACTTGATAACATTTCCACAGCATCTGCTCTCTGAATGCACTTAAGAAAACTTGTTCTGGAAGGAATTTGTGTGTGTTAAGAAATACTAGGTTGAGAACTGGAGTCTGCGTGAAAGTGGTGTGATCACATATGCACAGAATTTGCAGTTTACACGCACAGCTGGCAAGTGAAATGGTTTAATGAATGGAACGCTGAATGCATAATTTCATTATGAGTCATCATTATTAAAATGAAAATCTGATAGATACATAACTAGAAAATGTAGCTATCTATTATAGATACAAGTGATAATTATATTCTGGAGTATATAATGTATGCTCTGAATAACACAGTGAGTAAGTGCATTTGCCCTCTTGTGACTATTTTCTAGGAATTACAGAAAAGTTAGTTTTGAAAGTGCTTCCTTCCTGCTATATTTCTATGAATACTGAAGCTGATTCACTATGAAGTGACCTTCAATTTTGCTATAAGTGCATAAAGAGGCATTTCCTAAGCATTTCCATGCTTAGCCCTAGAAATTCAAAGATAACTGATGAAAAAAACAACCCTTAACATTACGGCAGTAGTGAACTTGTGAGACAGACTGAGGTGATCTCATTGCTCTGCATGGATTTTCATAAAGATTCTCTTTCTGCTTTGAAATTTTTAAATGAAATTTATTTACGAAATCATAACTTCTCAAAGTTTGCATTTATAAAGTATATTTATTCACATCATATTTAATCCTTAGGACAAAGTTATTGGGAGGGCAAATGTATCCCTTTCCATCTATA